TATATATTCTCTAGTGCTTTTTGCATGCCTAATTTCGAAATTCCGGCCAATTCTTGACAATGTAAGGAGTGAGTAGACCCATTACTTTAAGGCAGATTGATCCATTCTATGTCTATTCTAAGGAATATACTGCATGCTGGTCATCATCATCGTGGTTAGACTTCGCAAACGAAGATCCAGGAAAGGCTCTATCCACGCTTGTTGCAAGCACTACAGATGTGGGTGTATCCTTCTAGCCGGTGCAGCGGATTTTTTAAATGATGCACTGCATGCGTGGAACTGGCCTCATCTTTTACTTCTAAGGATCATCTGCCAGGGCCTAGCGAGCTAAGACAGTGACATGAAATTCTCACGACATAGGTTGTGTTGGAATATCCTCTTAAATGGATGGGGAGGGAGGGGAAGGGGATTAAACTGCCGGTCATATTGTTTTAATTAACGAACAGCAAATTTTAAAAAAGTATCAAGGTAGAGGAGTGGGCAAATTCAACACATTCACTCTCTTTCGCGTAAAATGTGTAAATGCTGAGTTTTAGGTATGAAGAAATTTTCACAGATCGTTTGTTCAGTTTACTGAAAAACGAAAAAAATATGACTGAAGTGGTGGCGAAATGAGCACTGCCAACAAATTGTACTTTTTATTTGCTTGAAAAGGTAAAATGATTTTTCATCAAACATTTCCTATGAGAAGCATTGGATTTCATTTGATCTCTAAGTTTGAGAAGAATTCTTGGGAACAAAGAGAGGGAAGTTTTGTAAAAAGTTCTGAATGGTTTTGTTTGCATTCTTCCCTCTATTTATTGTGCATTTTCACTTTATTTACCGTCGTCAATCAGCATACTGCAACTATCACTGCCGGTTGCTTTTACTGTTTATCGGGCCATCAGCCAGCACATGTTCACCGGAACAACCCAACCGTTGTGTTTTCCTTCTATGCAGCATATGAGAGGTCAAAGTTTAGGTTACCTCGCTGACACTATGTGTTCTGTGTTACACTCTAATTTCGTAATTTGCTTCAACCGTAATAATTTTGCTTACAAAGCATTGATTTTTGACAGTGATCTTCGTAAGATTACCTCTGACATTGCTTCTGACAAGGTTATCAGGTGTTCATTTGTGATGTGCAACATCTGTTTTCGTCATCAGTATCGAGTTAATGACCTTCTTCAGCAGCGAAAAGAACGGTTGGTCAGTTACTCCAGTGATCTGTTGCAATATCAGCAATTATTTCTAAGCTTAGGTATCATTGCGTATTACTGAGAACTTACTTTTCTAAACCAAAATTTCTATTGAAACTAAAGTAAGACTTTGGAAGGAGGAGTTGCTGGGTAAATAAGGTGCATGTTGTCAAGAGTCTTATCCTACACCCGTTTTTATCTGCTCGGCGGGTCTGTTTCATTTTTATATTTAAAAAACTTTGTTTCTACTGAAATTTTTATTGAGGACGACTTGAAAAGTTGAGACATTGCAGATTTGTTCTGCAAATAAAGATGCTATTGTCGATATTTTCCTGCTCTCCTGTTCCTGTTTTTCCCTTGGACTATTCCAGTGAAGTTCATCATATTTAATAACGCTCGATCTGTATGAGATTCAGGGTGTTCTTCATTGATCTGTTTCATAAACGTCCGGTTATGAGGCTTAACATCAGCCAGTTAACATGTCTTCCTGCCTGAAGCCTTCCGGAATTTTTTTTTTGCCATATTTCGACTTTTCCCTGTTGTGCTGCTTGAGACCAGCTTAATAACAAATCATGTATAACTCTTTTTTCTACAGAAATCAACAGGCAACTGTATGAGCATGAATGCTGATTATTTTTCAACCAGTTGAAATGTGAAACGTTTCTCCTGGTTCCGGTCTAATGATGATTGATTTTATGTGCGGGAAAGATTATAGAGTAGGCTCTTCTCTTCATCCAATCCATCACAAATAACATTACAGCTCGCATGTCTTTTTTTTTCGCTTTTAAAGATTCAATGTTTCTGGATGGATTGCATATAAGTGCTGCAATTTGCAGCATAAGTAAGTGCGTTAATGTGTTGCTCTCTTCCAGATATATTCTGATGTTGGACGTCATTGGATTGTGTATGTCTATAAAATTGGCCTGCATTTTCATGTCTAGCAGTGCTACATAACCAAATTTTCTTCAGCTAGGCTATATTTCTTTCTCCCATGTCCCATCATCTGCCGTTCTCTCTGCCTAAGTTCCCTTTCAATTTCTACGAATTCTTTCCTCACACTACTTCCATTATGATATTTAAATTTTATCTCGTTTGTTATACTGCATCAATTAGTAGTCCATCGAGTAACCACTCGTGATTTCATAGTGGATTTATTTTATTTCTCTAAGCAGAACAAAATATCAACTTCCCCTTTTCTCAATTGATTATAGGGTAAATTCAATTGATTATAGCTCAATTGATTATAAATTTACGGTGAATTTTTTCTTTTCAACTCAAATTCTGTTTTCATCCTCTCTTATTGCAATTTTAGAATCATTGAATGCACATCTTATTTATTTGGTGACAGATTGATGTAATTACGGCTGACTTGCTGTTCGTTGTTATTTGACAGAAGCAGAAGCGCTGAAATTTTCCAGCTGAAACAAAATGCGTGAACATGTAGAACGCCGTGTGACAATTGCTGATCCACTACCAGATGCTTCCACTGGTTTAACATCACTACTTAATGACCTTAGTGATAGGTAATTGTTTTCTTTCTTTGCATGACTTACGGCATTGCGGCAGAATTTCTTGCGGAATGTATTGTCATCAATTCCAAAAAAGAGTCGTATAGTTCGAGGTACCCAACTTCATTTCATATTTCCGCATGTCGTTGTTTATGTTTTGCGTTTATTTCCACGTCTTTTTCATGCCTACATTTACGTTAGATATATATTTAGGATAAATTTTTTTGTATATTATTTATCGGGATTGATCTACTTTTTTGATGTTTTTAATATTTGTTGTTGAAACTTTTAGTGGTTCGACAGCTCCACCTCTCCCGCTACACCGACCTATGCGTACTATCTCGGGCTCAAAATCCGAAGATCATCTTATCACAACAGAAAGTGGACGTGTAAGTCAAATTTCATAATGCACTCTTCACTCTTTTTTATTTGTTAAATCTCATAATTGCCTCATTTTATTTCACTCATTTGGTTAAGATTATCATAAATTGGTTTCTTAAAAGGAGCGATTTACTCGTTCATTTTTACTCCTATTTTTTATTTTAGGATTTCGTGAAATATTTTTATTTTTACCGATTGTCACTTTTCGATAAGTTACAGCGTATATATACAAAAGGTCGTCCACCGTGGTATGATCGGGAAGGTAAAAATTTTAAAACAACCATATGTGGTCGGAATTTGTGGCGGTTCA